CAGACAAAAAGAATTTTTTTTTTTAAACGATTTGTTTAAGGTCGCATGAACGTCTAGGTTAGAGATCACTTTTGGTAAAGCACCTAGTTGTTTATGTAAAAGTCATAAATTGAACACGTTATTTACACAAAAATTTAAGGACAAGGAATTTAATTTAACAATTATTCAAATGCACATGACCACGAATAATAATATACCGTGATATATATATAATACTGAATAATTGCTATAATACTGAAATGTGAAACAATAGTTAATTTAATAATTTTGTTTCGTTGTGTCTTTTCCAAATGGATCGCTATATTTTTTATTTATATCGACGTATAGATATTTTAACCTTTCTCAGCGATGAGAAATCATGTTCCTAAAAACAGAAATTGAAAGTACTTTTATAAAAAAGAAGTTATATTACAAATCACTTACAATCAGAAGTTGAAATAAATAAATCAGGCTCAATTATTATCGATACTCATCTTAATAGTTTGTCACTGCTAGATCATTACATCAATTGTGAAACGCAAAGATAGACGCTCTACTGAACGCCTGTGGATTTCCTACAAAATCGATGTAGAAGACGTTCAGAATTGAATTTCAGAATAGAAAGGCCCTAATCGACTGGAATACAAATTAATTTACGAACGTTCACCGCGGGATAAGATTATCCGTCATATGTAGTACCTGAACGTAACATCCGTGGCAATAAATATTCGCAATCTCTGAATTTATGTTTCGTATCATCGCTAGACAAGGAAATTTTATATTTGCATCAATAGGAGATGTCGGACTTATCTCCGCAGCGACTGCTTGCGGCAGCAGCAGCCAGGACCGAGTCAGACGTAAATCTACATCTGCATTCCGTTTGCGAAACGAACGCGGCACGGTAATAAGAATTAAGTACCGTTTCGAAACAACGAAAAGGAAAAAATTCGCCAGCGAAATCAAAGTAAAATGAATAACAGAAACGTCGCCGCGGAAGAGTTACCCTCAGTTTTGCTAGTCTCTTAGAAGACAAACGGCCGCGTTCTCTAACATTGAAAACGAGTATTTGCATTCACGCAAGACTCAAATGTCGACGATCTTGACGTCGACTTCGAGACTCGAGTCGGCTCGGTAACGGTCTGTTCCAGTGATTCTTAACCACTATGCTGCGGCACACCACTGTGGCGTGAAGCAAAGGTGGACGGAGCTCTTATCGAGATAAAAATGTTCAATGTTGGATGAGAGGTGAACAACTGTTCATCGGGTACTCTTCGAAGGAGAATCAGGATTCTTAAAGAGTTTCAGAAGAATGGCTTAAGGATCTTGTTCTTTAATAATACATAAAGTATTGTATAAAATAGGTATACAATTTTTTATTTTTATAAGAGTGCAAGTTTGTAGAATAAAACTACGTTGTAACATTTTTGTGAGCTACATGTTTATATAGAGTTACAATTTATAGCAATTATTCTAGGTTGTTTGATATGTTTATAGTAGACACAAAACTATAGTAGTGTCAACAGGGTAACAAATTATAGCCATTATTCCAAATTATTTGTAATATTTATACTGGACAAACAATTATAGTAGAGTAGTGTTCTCTAAATTATTTCATTTCTGAATTGTTCTTATATTCAATAATCAAGCGAAAATTTTCGTGTTTGATTGTATTTATGTATACTTTCATTTGAAATAAAAGATCAGATATGATCCATTCAATTTATGTCTTATTAAAGAACAAAATCCTAACACCGGTTTTGAAATACTCTTCATAATGCAAAATACCCCATTTTTAAATACCTCTACACTGGAATTTGTAGATCAATACTTGGTTGTACAATTCTTGTTCTTTGTTTATTGGAGTCATAATTGAGTATGTGTTTATAATTTCTATATTTGTAGACGATTTCTTTAAATCCAGATTGATATATGCTTGAATTTATTCGAAGTTTCCTTTTAGCTTATTCATTACAATTGCCATGGAGTATCAATGAAGGTAACAGTCGTGTTATCTCTAGCATTTCTAATTTTCAATAACCAAATATATTTCTTCATTATGGCGAGTCATTGGTGTCCCACGAAAAGTATTTTTTCCAATCGAGGTGCATTATAGAAATGAATGAATCCGTTGAACCGAACAAACAATGATTTTAGAAGAGTAGATCTAACCAAATATATTTCTTGATTATGGTGAGTCATTGGTGTCCCGCGAGAAGTATTTTTTCCAATTAATGTGCATTATAGAAATGAATGAATCCTTTGAACCGAATTAACAATGGTTTCGAAGAGTAGGTCTAACCAAATGTATTTCGTGAGAAGTACTTTTCCCAATTGAAGCGTACCATCGAATTGAACGAGAGTCTTCTTTCAAACCTCGTGTAGCGAGCTTGGAAGGTTAAGCACCACTGATCTTATTCAATGGCCAAGAAATCCGCCAATCGTGGCTAAAACGATGTATTCCGAGGATGTACAAAAGGTGTATCAGGAGAATCCCGGTTCCGTTAAGCGGCTGCAAACCGTATTATTACGCCAGTTGCTTACTCATGCCGTCCCTCTTGTGCCCCTTCGACTCGTGGATTACGAGGAAAGAACGTGGACGCACACCGATTTCCAGGAAATTCACTTTCACCGGACCTTGTCCGCGAGTGTTTCTCAAGTGACTCGCGCCATTAGTTTCTTTATCGAACGAGCCCAGGCTTCTGGCTCTTCTTTTCCGTTTTTTATTCTTTATCCGCGACATGAACGTAACCGCAACGCGTGATTTTACTAGTAGGAACCGATCCTCGAGGATAGAACGGAAGTGAACATACGATTTGTCAGGAAAGCAAACCAGGAGAAACTATTTAAAAGTTGCTTAGAGGTGACATAAAATCTAACTTGAGTGTATGTTAATGTATCGTTGTTATTTTGTCTTTTAGTATAGAGAGTGTTATAATGCGACGAAGTAAATATTGTTGAGTGGTCAAACAAAAATGTTAATTCTTGCTATTCTAATAAAACGTTCATTGCATGTCTAACACAAATGATATGTTTGCTAGAGAATATTCATAGACGAGCTTGTATGCATACTATTTAAGGAATCGTAGTTTTTGTTTTATTTACGTTTTGATTCTCTATGTTAGAAAACCAAACAAATTATATTTTTAGTTTACTATTATAAATTTATTAAAACTGATATATATATATTGGGAAGATGTAATTATATTTCTTTTAATGAAAGAAACTATGTTTGACAATGAAGAAAAGTATTAATATTCTAAAACTATGGTGTGTATAAGCAAACTTTATTCTTAATAAAGTTAGTAAACTGTATAATTAAAAAGATAGTAAGAAAATAAAAATATTGAATTGTATTTGCTGATATTCTGAACCAATGTTATCTTTTTAGATTTTTGAATAGTATATGTAATGTATTATATACAATGAACATAAATTATATTGTATGTAATACATAATTTATTATATAACTTATATTAATTGTATATAAAATACTATAATACATAACATATACATAATATATTATATACAATTATTATAAATTGTACACATATAAATATATTAATATTTTGGTAACGCATTATAAATATCGAGAATGTACTGTAATAGAAAGCGAGTGGTCATTAGAATTTGTTGCGATCAGCGATTATTATATTACTAAGGCCTCCACAAGGCTTGCATGAAACGTTGCAATAAATTACTCTACGAAAACTTACTTAACGATGCTTTAATTTCGCAACGTGGACGAACCTACTATTGCATTGTCTGCGAACAAGAAGTTTTAACAGCGATAAGGCAAAAAAACGAAGTCTGTTGTAAATTCTTGGGACGACACGAGATAACTTCATGGAAAAGTGTCGGAGACGACGACACTCTAGATAACGAGTCAGAATGTGCCACAAAGAAATTGTGGTCCATCAAAGACTCCACCTTTGCAGCCACTTATTTCGTTAATTACAAAATAATTTAGATTTCATTAGATTTGCCTGTCTATCGAAAATGTAGTTCTCAATATTTTCTGATGTACCTGTACCTCCGAGGTCCTCAAGATAATGCAATATTAAACCTTATTCATAAAAGTATTACTCCCTCGTCAGTATAGGACGCTAAGGTGCTGAACTGTTCATTTTTATCGGTTAATTAAATTTTTCGCTGTTCTATCGTACTCGAATCAGTTGTGTAATAATAGGTTATCACAACGAGATAATATTTGTAAACATTATTATCTAGAGAACAGAAATGTTTACTTTGTACGTTTTAATGTTTGAAGAAAGTCATTTTGCGATTATTTTGCTTGTGAAATATTATTTTGCAATTTCTTCTTAAAAAATAATATAAACAAATAATAATTTTATACTCGAGACACAAATAAAGATTAGGAATCTACTTAATACAATGACCCAAATGTTTCCATTAGAGAGTTAATAATCGTACACATCAAGTAAATTTAAATTGTTACTATTGCGAACTATTGCATTTTAAATAATGTTGAAGGGAACAATATTGATCTCGACATTTAATTAAACGAATTCCTCCCCGACACATGTATAAATCACATTCACATCTGAAACGAAAATCTTCATCTGTCCAGAAAATTAAAAAAAAAATGTACACGCCATTACTTTCGCCTCAAAATAATTATAATTTCATTCGTTACTAAATCGTGCCAATTTCGAAACATTTAACTAAATAAAAAGTAATCGAACTACCCCCCGCCACAATTAAAAACAAAGTTCGTTACGAACGAGAACTCGTCATCGCCAATTCAACGGTCATCCGTCAGTGGCAATCATCCTGCTAGCGACCGTTAGCACTGCTAATTTATTAAAACACCGCGAAATTCCAGCGACTAATTGCTTCGTTAAATTGGCGCTCCAGCCCGCGAATAATCGCCTCGAAGAAGCGTTGCGTAACGGTACTCGTTGAAAGTGCGATTTACGCGTTAGCCGATTTTAACGAGCGGAGTTTCGCGATCGACAGAGGCCCAAGGCGCTGGAATTTTCGAGGAATCGGCTCCGACTCACCTGTGGTGCTCTCTGACAGAACTCTTCCTCCGTTAGGGAAGTTAACGTTGCGCCGTCGACGTTGAAGCTCTCCAATGGCACCGAGGGCAGCTGCAGTTGCCTCCTGGCCCATTGTATCCAGGCTGCTACGTCCGCTGCGCTCCAGCGTCGTGGTTCTGCAACAAACGGAATCGTTTCATTAGCGATACACCTCTAATCGATTTTCACCGAGTTTTTACTCCAACTTCGCGAATATCGCGCAGCCTTGCGCATTGAAACGGAGAGAAAGTTTCAAATCCCTCCTACGATTAAAGAGGAATAACAGGATTGAATGGAATGCGGTAAAACTTGTCCTGTTTGACGGTATACTCTAATATTCAGGAATTTTTTTTTGTTTATGCCCTGATTTCTTTGAACTAGGTTGCCTTTTTTCCAGGCATTGATGATTTTAATGCAGTTTTCTGGATTTTCTTATCAACGTCGTTTCAATTTTAGAATAAAATAAACATTTATTTTAGTGAATATAAATTAACAAAATGGAAAGCTTTACTTTACTAGATCATCTTCAAGTTCAATCAAAATTGTTTTAACCAATTAAAACAAATAACTACTTCTAACAGTCGTCTATGTTAAAAACAAAAATAGGATGAAATTAATAGAAATTGAAGGTCAAGAAGAATTTACTTGTAATTTATATTTATAACGTCATATTTATATTAGATTCAGTACATTCAGATAATTTGTATTGTACCGAACGATTGTCAACCTGAACTTAAATATGAAAAGTACATTTGCTCGTTGGACCGCATTACATCATAATTTTTAAAAGTCTTCACACATCCAAAAAAATTGATTTGCCTTTATTTTATTAATCATTATATTGTTAGGCAATCCTAATTCCAAATTAATTTTCTTAAAAAGGACTTTAAGTAAGATCAAATCGTTATTGAATAGCTAAAACATAGTCAATCTACTCAAGTATGATCTATTAAATGGCTATCTTGTTACATGTGAGTAGTGATAATGTGATACGCAACAAATTTCCAGATATTGTATTTAAACAAAAAAAATTATATACATTATATTACAATAAATAAGCAACAAATTTATAGACATTATATTCTCGACATGTTAATTCACGTTCAATATCACTGTCAGTATCTATCTCGATTCTGTTATTAGCTGATCGAGACAAGAAGAAGGTTACGGCGTACCCAAACCTACGATTAGTCATCGAGACGTGTACAGGAATGAAAGTGTTGGAAAACTAGCGGAAGTGCGGAGCGACCTTGAGCCGGGACCTCGAAATTTCGTAACGCCTCAGGAAAGTACTACACGAGTTCGTAACTTATTCCGAGCGCGGCGTTCGTTATGGTACAAAGTAATAGTCGAACCGGTCGCTCCAACGTCTACGAAGATAACGTCAAAGTCTCGCCCGCGGCAAGGTAGCAAGAAGGTCTAAGTATCTAATGGACATTCACGCACCTTCTTATTACCAAGGCGTACCTGTAGAATTTATTTATTTACTATGTCGCAGTTAGCGGAGTTAAGCGGTAATCACGTTCTCTAACGGTAACCGACTCTTTCAACTTCTAAGGGGCACTGCAAATTGCTGGGTAATTTTGGTACGATTGAACCAACACTTTTTTGAGTTCAATTATTATTTTTGGAGCGGGCAGTTGTTTGCTTATTCGAGATGAATGTTATTGCTTTGTTCGAAACTTTTATTCCTTAGGAGTATTGTTATCGAGTATCAGAACGTGATGATTGCAGTAAATTTTGTATTACTTTAATTATTGGTAATTTTTGGTAGAATTAGTGAGAAATTTAATTAGATGGGTAGGAAAAATATAAATTTATTATGTTTCTCTTTATTGTTGTCTCTCGATAAACTACTGTTATTTAAACCGTGCCTACTAGAAACGCAATACATTAAAGAATTATATATGTAATTTTTAATGAATTTTACAGCACAGTATAGATTACAATATAGAATTCTAATCAAGGAGATTATACTTCTACTAACCAGACCCACTAGCCAATTTCTCATATCTGTATAGTACACGAGTCAAATTGACAAATTTGAAAGTTTTAGTCATTTAGTTATTACCAAGACTTTTAACAGGCTACTGCAGAGTGATACAGTCCAGATCCTCGATGGTTTTTGTAAAATATTAGGCATAGAATTCTGTAATATAATCTAGGAGATTAATTAAATTGCTACTAATCCGACCCAATAGCCAGCTTCTCACGTCCGCACAGTACTTTAATACGTTCCTGCCAGACTGATATTCTTGCAAATTTGTACTGTTATTACATTTTCTTTATAGACTTTTAAACTTCGTTAAAATTCAAGAATTTCATTCAAATTATTTTTCTTTGACACTTGACTTTTAGAATAAATTTGTTATTTGTCCAGTGAAAAGTACTGTCACCCATATATGAATCAACGGCGATCAACGGCGATCAAAGTGTTAAACTTCTTCTTAAAATCGTTCAACTATTAACAATGATATCATCGCAAATTTTCAGGGACAACTATTACTATAGAGAATTAAATTCATTGATAAATTAGTTTGCTCTTTCCTCTAATTTCAAAGATACAGTGCTGTATGATTAATATGCATTAACCTTGATAATTCCATCGTTAACACACCGATTGAGTAACAGGCACATTTTTCAACAAAATAATAAGCCAATTGGTACGTACAATAAACGATCATTGCTCACCTGGATGTATGCCCAGTGCCACGCAGGTATTATCAAAGTCCTTCTGCAGCTGCTGAATGGCCAGGCTCAGGACAGGCTCGATCTGTTCTCTGGTCAGGTCTCCGACGCATTCGCCAGGTTCCATGTCTTCCACGAACCCAGTCCCAACGCTACCAAGATCCACGGGTCTCAGATTGTACTTCCTTTGAAAGCTCGTGTCCCTCAAAACCTCCCTGAGCAACTGATGATCGCTCTTCTGACCGTCCTTGAAGAGCTCCTCCTCCTTCTGCAGAGGATTGCTGACCTCGTCCTGTATTCTCTCGAGTTTCAGAACATTTGTTCTCGCGACGTCCGCGAAATCCTTTCGAGCGCCCTTGAAGAGCAAGTTCCTCAGCGGCGAACTGTTCTCCAGCTCTATGGGGTCTGGAGAAGAGGAAGTCGTCGACGAGGACGACGACAACGAGGAGGAATTGCTGCTGACGCTGCTGCTACTACTGCTGCTGCTGCTGTTGCTGCTGCAACTGGACCGAGGCTCTTCCTTGAACAGGATTTCCTTCAACAACGGGTGGCCCTGCACTCCGGCATCTTCTTTCTTCGCGAAGAAGTCCGCGTCAAGGCTGTTGTAGATGTCCTCTTCCGTTCTGGGTGGCGTGCACGGTACTGTGCAGTCGGTCGAGTCTTCACGGTAACCCAGACTCTCGGCCAGGAGTCTGAAATTAGAGGGCGAGGTGGATGTCAGTGGGTGATTCAACCCCTTGGACTCGGAAGGCAACGGAGTGACGTTGTTAGATTTTATGTGACAACTCGATTAGCGACTGGGAGCGATTTGTGGTAGATTTCGTTGAATCTTAACTTACGAGTAAGTTTTTGATCTCTGCGTGTATTTTTTAGGAAATTTATAATGGGACACCTTGAAACAGGGGTGAAATTTATTATCTTTTTGGCTATGAACGCGGTTTTTATGTCTACAGAGCGCTGAGACTGTTTATATTTAATATATTGATTTCTTATTAATCTAATTTTATTAAATTTCTAAATTTAGTTTTAGGAGATAGTGAGTTTTTCATGCCACCTTTTCTGTTATTGAATATTTGTTCAATAGGGGCATTGTGAAGATGTGTTAAATAGGGTGTTACATTTAGATTTGATAATAAAGTGCCCAAAACTGAACTGTTTATATTTAATATACTAATTTCCTGTTAGTTTAATTTCATTAAGTTTCTAGTCTAAAAAAATAACATGTCTTTTATGCCACTCTGTGTTACTGAATACTTGTTAGGGTGGTTCGTTCAGAAAGCTGATAGTGTTTACATTAAATATATTCATTTTCTATCAGTCTAATCATCTCAAGTTTTTAATTCTAAAAAATACCATACCCTTCATGTCACTTTTTGTGCCATTGAATACGGGTTCAACACGTGCATTATGCACACGTATTATACAGAGTGTCCCAGCCTAAGTGATACAGAGCTCTAACTCCAAAACTATCGGCCGAATGGAAAACTTCAAATATGGAAATTGCATGGTAAAAAACGTGGAAATAACATGTTCGTCACACCACGATGACCTTTTAACCCTTTCGACTCTAATGGGGCACACATGTCCCAGTGAATATTCCTGGTTACCATTGGTCAAATTACAATCGAGACTTAACAAGAACATATGAGCCTTCATTGCACCAATCGATTAACTCCATAAAAAAAACGTTCAGATATGCGATGGAATAATGTGAAAATAATAATAATAAATAATAATGATGCGATGTAATAATGTTTGTCGTTTAATAGTGCTAATGTTTATTATTCAGGAAAGTTATTATAAATATAAAAAGTTATGGCTGCACCAAGTGCTTTGACACTTAAATTGAAGATTTTTCAAAAAGTGGAGTCGATCGATTTGTGCAGCGAACGAACTATATGTTAAAAAAAAAATGAACGTCATTTACTCTGGGTCAAATTGTTCCTTTGTATCTGGATATGATCTTGATTTGTAGACAACTCTAGTTCAATACAATTAATTTCCAAAAAGAAATGGAATAGAGTCCAAATAGAAAACAGTCTAGAAACCAGCCCAAAAGGGTTAAGGGAAAATTGATATTATATTTTTATATAAAATATATTAACCTTGATTCCTGCAAGATGGCGAGTAGGTCGAGACTCTTCTCCCTCTTGACTGGTTGCTTGGCGGACGGTTCGGGGCTGGTTGGATAAAACTGGGCGCTCTGAGGACTCCTGGGAACGTAGTAAGGACTCGTTGGGTATCCTGGCGAGCCCTCGTGCGAGTAATTAGGGGAAAGTGGCAATTCGCCGCCCGCACCGGGGTAAGGTGGACTCGAGTAAGTGATCGGCGAGCTAGGACGCGGCGATTGTGCTTCCTGTTTGATTTGCGTCGGTTTCAAGGTATTCTGAGCGTTCGCGGTAACATAATCGTCCGAAAGAAGGGACAAATCGAACTGGAATGTGCTGTAATCGAACGACGGCGAGTAGCCGGCTGCGGATGGCACCGTCTGTGGCATCTGAAAAAAGAAAAGAAGGAAGTTATTATTAGTTGAACTTGTTCCTGAAGAGCGAGTTACATTTTAAATTTCATGATGGGGTGTATCTGGATTTGAATCCACTTGAAGGTAATTAAATTGTAGATGCAGCGTGTCGGATAGTGCGGAAGTAATTACTGAAAGGAATGATTTTATTTTTGGGTGTCTTGCGATTAGAGGGAGAATTTTGTACATTAATGACGTAGGTATATTAATGTGGGAAGGAATATATGTGTCATAGATTAATAATTAATAGATAATAACATTATTTATGATAATGATATTAATTTATTACTGTAGGATTATAATTTGTGAAATACTCATTCAGGTATGTTTTCCCTTTTGCCTTTTTACATTTACATTTCTTTCTGAAATTTATGCTTTATTTTTTATTAGTGCATATATTCTGCCATGAGTTTTGCACGTGTTTTTCGAATTCGAATGTGTTCTAAATGCATGAAATTGTCAAATTATAATTCATATAATTTATCTAAAAATTTCTAATTTCTTTTAATATCTACAGTTCTTTCTGAAATTTATGTTTCATTTTGTATTAGTGCATACATTCTGCCATGAGTTTTGAATGTGTTTCTCGAATTCGAATGTGTTATAAATGCATGAAATTCGCAGTAAAATTTATAATTCATACATTTTATCTGAAAATTTCTAATAATTTAATTGGTTTCTTAACCTTTCATGAGACACAAGTTAGATCACGTTTACGGGCAAAGTTCCTCTGACATTTAAGTAACTGACACGAATATTTCACCCCTAAGCCGAGATTGCAACCACGCGCATTCCCGACTCGCATTCCCGACGATCCACAATTTACATTGTTGCTCACGAGCGAGAAGATCTAGTAGAAATGATACACTTTCCTCCAAGACAGCACCGATGGAGCCAAGGGCCCATTTATCTTACCGCGTGTTTATTGCCCGTCCTGTGCTTAAACTCGCGTCAGTTTGTTACGCTCCGTAAGTCACTTATGGCTCAGGGCGATCCTCCGCGTCTTCAACAGACCGAGGTCGCGATATCGTTTCGTCAAACGTCCGATTGGAACGTAAACGTCGCGATCATTCCCACGTGAATGTTCAATCTAGGGATATTCCCTACGTTTCAACAACTCTCGAATTTATTCTCCGTGTAATTTTCGTGTTGGCCTATTTAATAGACTTTTTGCTAGGACAACCGATACTTTATTATTTATTATTGACATAACATGTGACACTCCTATCATTATATAAATTATAAAATATGTAAATATTAATCGAGAAACTATTCTAATGGATAAAATTAGGATGAATAATGCTAATATTGTCTAAATAAAAAATATTACTAAATTCATTTATGTTATATAAGTTACTACAATTGTACTAAATAATTATAACGTATAAATAATAATATTTGTAGATGATTTATCGGATAAAACTGAGAATTCTATTTTTATGGGTTACCTAAGTAATTCAAGAATTCGACTTGAACATGGTACGCATATCGTACGCGTCTTGCAAATTATACTAGGACATGAAATCGTTTGAGTAATACATACATGTAATTTCAAAATTCAGAATTCATTGTAAAAATCATTAAATTGTACTAGATATTCATATTATATAGACAATACCGTGATTTTTTTAATAAATAAAGAAATAGAAATTGTTGTCAAAATGAAAAATATTGAATTTAATTATACATATATCCAATCGCTACCGGTCGGTAAAGTGTTAAACTTGGAGTATTAACTGAGTTTTTCGTTGCACTAATCGATCGAATATTTCTTTTATTCTCACCTTTAACTAACCTAAATTTATCCATTTGCTGCTGTTTCACGTTTTAAAAGCTCATTGCTAACCAATTCACTGCCAACTACGAGATATCTCGTAGTTCGAATTCATTGCAATTACTCAAGGGATAAATTTGCAGCCTTTTGAGTCACGAATTATTGCAAAAGGAGATCGTAAATTTTCTTTCTAAAACAACAAATTTAATATTCTTTTTTATTGTCAAAAAACACCTATATTTCACATCTGTATTAAATCTTGGCGCCCAAGGCAAAACGCTTTAAATTTGTCTGGCAGTGAGTGGGTTAATCTACTGTGGCGTCAACGTAAGCCGCCACGTCTCTGTCGTTTGCTTTCTAACTTTTTCGTTTCCACTTAACATTCCTAAAAGCTTCATTCACACTAACATTCCTGATGTCACTTTTTATTATCAAAATAATAATCCAGATTTAATATCTGTATTAAGTCGTGGCACTTAAGGCAAAATTCTTTAAATTTGCCTAATATGGAATGGGTTAAAACAATTAATTTTGATCAAATATATCATGAAATTGTAATACTGTGTTCGCAATTTACAATAACCATTCTCACGAAAACTTTAATAGTCTCCTATCCTTATTTTTACCCTCAATGGATATCAACCTACCTCTTCCCTGGTATCTACAAAACTCTTTAAATTTGCCTAATAGTGAATGGGTTAAAACAATTAATTTTGATCAAATATATCATGAAATTGTAATACTGTGTTCGCAATTTACAACAACCATTCTCACGAAAACTTTAATAGTCTCCTATCCTTATTTTTACCCTCAATGAATATCAACCTATCTTTTTCCTGTTATCTGCTCCAAAAGCCTCTCATAACCAAAAAAACCCAAGTTCTGACCAAACATGAAACCAGACTCTAGCGCTACATCTCATTTCGAATCTACAGAATCCAAAAACATCCTTTATGAATCCTCCTCACCCCGCGATTCTCACTTTCATCCTCGCTCACTCTTCCCGCCATCGACGCTTCTAACTCAAAGAAACATCCAACGAACGGAGTCCGCTCGACCGAAGCGGTAATTAAAATTTCACCCCGGCGCATCGACCGAAGGGTCAAAGGTCTCGATACGATAGGTCGTAAGGAGGAAACAGTTCATCCCGCGCGATGAACGTACTCGGCCCGGACGGCTAATAAATATCGTCTGAAATTTCCTTGTAAATAATCGCTCGGGCTTTCCTTATAAATAATCGGCCGGCGGAGTTTCCTTGTAAATAATCGGCTAACGACTCGCTATTATCTTCCGTAGCGTCTGAAAAAGAGGTGGAAGCCCACCTCGAGCCAAAAGCGAAACACTTTCCCCGGACGGTCGGGGCCCCGTTGGTGTGCTGCACCTTAAGGGCCCATTTATCTTTCCGTGTGTTTATTGCCCGTCGTGTGTTTGACCTCGCATCAGTTTGTTACGCTTTGTAAGCCCATTACAACGTTCCCAGTGCATCTTCCCTACGCTCAGGCGGGGTCGCGTCTGACATTTTGACGTAGTGCCCCGCAAAGGTCGACGCGAAATAAACGATTATACCCATACACGAGCTCGCGGATTTGCACGCTTACTCTCTATATACCCACGTAGAGACACAATGCCTCCGATCCCTTCCACCGTCGTGGCTACGTACACCGTACCGAAGGGGAACGGAGACGGCGAGGGGAAGGAAAAGAGATGAAACCTAGGTGAACAGATACCAGGGGGGAAGAGCCACAAAAGAGAACCGCTTATTTCTCGACTTCTCCTAGCCTACCGCGAAAGGTCCCGGGGAGAAAGAGAATGTTTATCTATGCTGATGGGATCTGTGGACGATGGAATTCCTCGTCGAGGCTTTCCTGAATCGTCTGGAAAAGAACGGGGTGCTCTAACCCCCTCTCGGACCGGGGTTGGCCCGCAGACGCGCTTGTGGATGCACGATGCCCCGGAAATGGGGAGCTTGTAATATGGAGAACACGAGGGAACATGGAGGATTCGGTATATCGATGTCAAGAACCATTATGGTGTTACGTGGACTTTGATGTGAAGGTGGAAAGAGGAAATAGAGATGATCATCCTCTAATGTTATTCTGTTAGGTTTCGAGGTAACAATAATGGGGTTAGATGAAAGCAAAATTCCAAATGCCAGGTATTTGCATCAACTTTATAAAAATATGGAATGAATTAAATAACATTTCTGACAATTTAGAAGAAGGTTCATCCCCTTATCTTACATTAGGTTTCGAGGTAACAATAATGGCGTTAGATGAAAACAAAATTCGAAATGCCAGGTATTTGCATCAACTTTATAAAAATATGGAAGGAATTAGAAAACAGTCTTGACAATTTGGAAAAGGGTTCATCCCCTTTTGTTGTTGTGGTACGTTTAAAGGTAACAAGAATGGCGTTAGATGAAAGCAAAACTCGAGATGCAAGGTATTTGCATCGACTTTGCTTGATAAAAATATGGAAGAAATTAGAAAGTAGGCATAACAATTTGAAAAAGTGTTTAAAAGTGTTATGTTGTTGTAGTAAATTTCATAACAATAATAACGTTAGATGAAAGTAAAATTCGAGATGCAAGATATTTGCATCGACTTTGCTTGATAATTATATGGAAGGAATTAGAAAACAGTCCTGATAGTTTATACAAAGATTGATTCCCTCATGTTGTTCTGATAGGTTTCATTAATTAGAAAAAACCTAAGAATAAACGCTCTTATAATGCACGAGACTAAAGTTTATATAATAAACTTGAAATTAACTTTTCACAGTGAATATACTTGAAGAATATAAAGAAATTTAACGGAGTCAACTAGAGTTAAATCTTCTAAACACTACACAGGCAATTCTAACAAAAATCTGTACAAATAAATTACGAAATTCCTTCAATTAGTAAATATTAAGCATGTTGTATTAATCAAATTATATATATTAAATTAAATAAGATTAATTAAACATATTGTATTGGATACACTGCAATTAAATTGTAACCATTAACGTGGACATTGATGGCCTTGTAGTTCCTGTGACCTTAAATAAAATAATTAAAAAGTACTCAACATAAATAAATGTGATATTATATATATAAAAAAAAAATAAGAATTTAATTCTACACTTGGGGAAAATCAAGTTTGAAAAGTCCTGTGGTAAATGGAAACGGAAACCGTAAAGAGAAGTCACAATCGCTGCGTTG